ACTTCTGGAGAAGTCGCCTTACCCTTCACCGATGCCTCGGCGTCGAGGCCGAGGCAGTTGCTCTCCGCCTTGACTATGTTGTATGTTCCTGCACAAGTGTTGACTCCGTCTGCCATCACTCGCGACTCCAACACGTAGTGAACCTTGGACAAGTCTTGCGCGCTCTTCCGTGCGAAGGAGTAGAGCGCGAGAAAGACAGACCGTTTAGCCGAGCCCGGCAAGGACAGGCTACCACTGCAAGCATTTGGTTGCACATTGAAGGGTTTACTGCACGTTAGCCCGAAGGCCGCAATCGTCTTGCAATGAACTGGTGGCATGGTCGGTACAGGACGCTCTTCTTCGCACAGCTCTCTTGTCGGGTAAGCTTTTGCCGGATAATAATTTGTCGCTGGATCTGCTCCATCCAACTCTTCAATCGAATATGGGTCGGCAAAACACTCTCTGAAACACTTCACGGCCAAGTCGTGCAACGCGTCTGTGCCATCCACCCAGTCGGATGGAGTGCATTCACCAGTCCTCCCGGCAAGCTCTGCGACACACTGCTCCAAAGCCACGGTGGGAACGACGAACCACCAAAGGACCAGCAGCTGAGATCTTGCCATGGCGCGATGCACGCGTTATCGATTCTGTATTCTGCAGCAACCCCCTTTCTCAGCTGCTCTACACTCAGCCAAAATGGCTGGTAAACGGCGAACAGGGTGGGGGCCAGCGCAGGGCAGGGCTGGACAGGGCTCTGGGCTGCTCGGGTGTCGCTTCGGTCAAGCGCTCCTCCTCGGCGCTGCGAAAGAGTGACGTCTTCTCCTCAAGCTGGCTCCTGAAGGCATCTCGTTCCTCGGGGGTGCCCAGTGGCGCAGTGCTCTGCATTGCAGAGTCTGCAAGACGGCAACATCACCAAGAAGGAAATGCACGAAGTCAGATGTCCTACACCACCTAGCGGGCGTGGCCCTACCGCACACCCTTCGGCCGGCAGCTGTTGGGATCCTCACAGACGCCACATCCACCTGCTGGAGCCGATGTTTCCGGCGCTCCTCGAACGTCACCATAAGCAACAGCGCAAATGTGGGAGTTCTTGCGATGCTCTCAGAGCCGTGCACTAGGGTCACTAGGGTTTTCGTGTGCCGGGGTATAGTTCAAGACTTCGGGGGGATGATGGCGGATTGTCGACGCAACATGTCTGCGAGCTTTACTGCCCCGTCCGTGCCTCCTCCAGCGCTTGGCGGGACAGCTGCTTCTCCTGCATCCGATGCATCTGAGCCTTTAAGACAACATCAAACCGAAAAAAAAACTGCAATCTATGCTCTGGCTATGATCCTCAAAGCGCAGCATCCACTGCCAACGCTTCCCCTCTTGGGGTGCTACCCCGAAGCAGGGCCTGCTGGAGAGACTGCTGGGCTGCCGACAGCTCCTGGCTCATCTACAGATCTCAGGGGAATGCAACATGAACTTTCAGCGGTGATGGGCCATTCAGAAACCACAATTCTGAAAACAAGGGGACGACTCAGCATCAAGAAACGCGATTCAGAAAACACACCCGGGCGAATCAGCAGGAATGGGGGCAATTCAGAAAAGAGGAAGCAAGACTATCCTCAGCTAACCTAACCTGCTAGGCCAGCCTAACCTAATTAGCCTGACCCTACTTCTCACAGACCCTAAACTAGTAACAAGGATGAATACGACATACCCTCGCCGAACAAAACCAAACCAAACCCCCCCACGACCCCACATAACCTAACCTAAGGTAACCTCATCTCGACCTGAACCCTAATTACCCTAACAACCCTAACCTCTAAACCAACCTAGCCTCACGGTACCTGATCTAAATAAACCAGCCCAGCCTGAGCCCACCCAGATCCCAACACCCGCTCTGACCGCACCTGATGCGATCAATCCTAAACCCGTAACCTAACCCAAGTTCGCCAAACCTCACCTAACCTTGCCTCACCTTACCTAACTAACCGAAGCTAAATCCTCTCCCAACCCTCACCTAACATGAGCTACCCAGGCCCAACACAACCCAACCCAACCTACCCTTACCTAACCCTAAGACCCTTAGACCCCTAAGACTAACCTGAGCCTTCCCGAACTTCAAACCCAACCTAACGTAACCTCACCTCCACCTCACCTGACCTAAACAATAACTCGATCCCGGCCTGGATTGACCCATCCTCTGCCAAACCACATCAGTAGTCAAACCGAACGTAACGAAACTCAACTAGACGCAAGACCCCCCAACGTAACCTAACCCTAAACTTGACTTTGAGCCCAGCCTGGCCCAACCGATCCCAAACCCGAAACTGACAACGACGAATACTCCCACCCAACCTATCCGAACCGACCCCGCCTGACCCAATCTACTCCAGCCCGGCCCTGACCAACGCAACATGAACGAAACCCAAACCAGATCAGCCGCACCTAACCTTTAACCCTAACCCAACCTACAACCTGATGAACCGGCCCTAGACCGAAACTGACAGAATACCGAATACCCCCACCCAACCAAACGAGCCAAACCCCACCCGACCCAACGCAAGCTAATCCAATCTACAAGGTTTAGCTTCACCGACACCGAACCTCACCTCAACAATGCCCTCATCAGACGACCCGATTGCCATCAAAAAACAAAGCTTCGTGAACCGTTCAGATGCCCGCTGAGCTCCAAGCGTTTTCGAGCCGCTGGAGCCCCTCACGGAGCCGGCTCTCCTTCAAAGGCTTCGGTTTTTGTGCTTGTTGGCACTTTGGGGTCGGTCAGAGTCTAATCTTTGAGGAGTGCTCGAATGAGGGAAGCTTCGACGGGGGCCAGCCCAGCAAACCCCTGAAAACTGAACCAAGAACCCCCAAAAACCTCTCAAAGCTCACATCCACGGCCTCCTCCATCTTCTGCTGCACGAGGCGCTTCTCCTTCCGACTGCGGCAACACACATGCTACTGCAACTAGTTAGGAGCTGCCACATCTTGCTTTGAGAAAGCTTTGAGCTTCCCTCGAAAACCACAAGACACCCTCGGAGCTGAAAACATCCGAGCGCACCTCCAGCAACTGCTTTTTAGCAGATGCCAAGTCCTTTCAGTCTCCGAGTCTCGGGATTCATCGCTCCGATCCGTGGCAGCGGACTCTGAGATTCGGACAGCCTCTACTTGCTGCAGACTTTCTCGCAGCGTGCGCTCCTAGTCACTCTTCTTGGGCAGCCATGCAGGTAACCACTGCTGCTCATCTCCTCTTCCACTTTCTGCCGGGCCAGACGCTTCTCCTGGGTCATCTACCAAGCTTTACTTCTACTTTGCATTGCGCCAGCCCTGCCTCCTGCACTGCCTTTCGCTCGGAAGCCAAGTCCTGCACTCAGGAGCTCCTCTTCCGAAACATGGCAGATTGGTCGCCCGGGCATCGGGCAGCTTGTGCTCGCTGCAAACTCTCGCGCAGACTGCGCTCCTGCGGAGCCAGGCTTGCCATTCAACCGCGCAAGCTGCAACCACGGCTGCATCGCAGCAACTCCTCTTCCTCCCTCTGCTGCACGAGACGGGTCTCCTCGCACGAAACGCGCCCTACGCCCTGACGAGGCCGCGTCGTGCGTACCGAAGCGGAAGTTTCCCAAAACTCTGAGCTCCGTGTCAAGTCGCTGCTGAAGCCCTCCAAGCGCCTCAAACACACACAATCACACTTCCAGGAATCAAGGCCTTTTACGCACCAAGGATGACACTCAATGCACAGAAACCTGGAAACACCAAGTCAAGCCGTCAAGCGGCGGATCCGTTCATCTCCAGCTCAGCACTTTGGCTGGTTAGCTGTGTTTTCAGGCCTCGGCTCGCGTCGAAGTCGCATCAAACCCGTTTGATGTCTCTGAGAGGCTGCTTTCCGGGCGCCCTGGGCGCCCTGCTTGCTCGCTCCTGCAGCCAAGTCTCCTGAAAAATCACTGGGACTGGCACTCTGGGACCCCGCAAGAAGCCCGACTAGCCCAAGCCGTGGGCTCTCCTCGGTTTCTTGAAGCTGCCGCAACTCCTCTTGCCTGGTGGAGCCGTGAAAGCACAGAGCTGCCTCCAACAGCCGGTGGGGGCCGGGAAGGGCCGACCGCTTTAACAAAAGGTTTTGGCTGCACATGACACGAGCTTTCTGAGCTTTGGGCAGATGCTCGGCTCTTGAGCCTGGTCAGCAACAGCGGCACAACGTCACTCTATCGGTCATCCTGGACATATGTGTATAACTGTAGAACAAACTAATTATCCTGTGTCAAGAAGTTCCCCCTGAGGCGAAGTGCCCGGGACCGAAATCGACAGCCCAAGACAGCAGCCAACGAAGCCCCTGCTTAGATGTAGCCTGTGCTTTGTGCTTTCTGAGGCATGCGCTTTGCAATGCAAGCTTCGCTTGGAGGTCTCGCACCTGCGCCTGGTCTTGCGGGCATCCCGGGATTCTAGACACGTCGCGAAGACTTGAAGACACTGTAGACTGCAGAACGAAGCAAAGCCTGACCGAAATCACCTCGAATCCAACTGCAACTGCTTCCGGCTTGAGGCCACAGAGTTTCGGACTCTGGATTCAATCTGGGAGCCCTTCGCCCTCTTCGCAAAGGGCGTCAGAGCGATGCGACCCCAACCCAATGCCCGAAAAAACCTCAAGTCAGCCACAAAGCAAGGTTTGCAGGAGTTTTGCAGATCAGTCGGATGACAAGCGTTGACAAGCCCCGCCTCCAAGTTTGCCTTCTCCCTGCTCAACTCATCCAAGCTGGCTTGGAGCGAAGTCACCCTGGCTCCGGTAGGGCGAAGGCTTTCGGGGCTGTCAGTTGCACATGCTTAGTGGGCTGTAGTGTGGTGATAGGCGGGGCCTTGTGCGTGGTAGTCATGAGTAATGCGCATCCTGTACCAGGCCCTCTGGTACCAGACCCTGCATGCGGTGTCCGATCAATGCACCGAGCCTCCGCTCAGACTCCAGCCGCTTAGCAGCTTCGTCCTTCCACCTTCCCTTCAGCGAGGCTCCCAGGCTCCCAGCATCAGCACAGGCACTCTGCAAGCCGTGGACCTCCTGCTGTTCAGCGGACAGCCGCTGGCGTGCCTGTGGTCTGCAAAGCGATGCTTTGAAGACCGCAGGTCTTGGAGCGACTAAGACTCTAAGACTCTAAGAGGGCAGGTCGATGCGGATTGGCGGCTATGCGAGCGTTATCTCGAAGGCTGGCACGGACGGCCCATCAGCTTCAAATCGCTACGCCCGAAGAAGGCCATACCGACAATTTGCCACACCCCCACCAGGGAAGCTCGCAAATCGAAACCTGGTTCACATCGCCTCAGGCAAGTACACAACCCGTTGACGCATGTCAGGAGAGGTGCTTGGATGCAAAAAACTCGGGTCGCGCGAACTTTCGCAGACCAGTGCATGGAGCTGCCTGGAGGCTGTCGCCTTCGGCTTTGCTGCGCTCCAGCTCCTAAGGGACAAAATGCACCTGAAGCCTAAGCCTTGCCTGACAGGATGACCGAGTGCTGAGCATCTGCAATGCTGACGATACAAAATCTGATGAATGCAGGCTTAAGGGGAAGATTTCGACAGATACTTGGAGCACGTCGCTGCAACCCGACAAACACAAGCCAACTCCCACCCACACACTATACAGCTCCCACCCGCAAAACAAATCAAGCATCGAAGCCATGTAGAAACGAATGATGTGTTTGGGCGCGAAGTGTGGCATGCAAGCTATTGCAGAAAACTTTTGAGGTTTACAGTCTCGTCCTCTGTCGCGGCATCCAGCTCGCTCCGACATTGTGCTAGATCCGCCTGCCACGAATTTCCTACTCTCGTCGAAGCGTGATAGCGAACACGACCATCACTGTTCTGCCCGTATCTCGCGATCACCGCCACTGCTCCGAAATTCTAGTCGTCTTCGTGGCGATCATACTCACCGAGATCATCCATGCTATCACCACTACGTCCATGTCTCTTACGGTGATCTTTGCATAGGTGGCACGCATTCCCAGTATGTACAGAATCGGAACCATAGTCTCCACAATGGTTAGCACCCCATGATTATCATGGTCATCGCGTCATCATTGCTAACATATGCTAATGCCTTCTGACGAGCAGCATTTATCGTCGACATCACCTCTCTCAGCTGACGTTGTCGTCGCCGCTGCAATAGCTGCCATGTTTGAGAGCTGTCATCATGTGTTCCCCTTCGTGCCTGAAGTTGCTGTCACTACCGTGACTGCTGTTTCTTTACTGGACCTCTCGGATCCTTGATAACTTGCTGCTCACGGTGAAGGCGATGTCGTGTTGTTCCCAATATGTTTGAGCTTGTCTGGAAGATTGATGTTCGACGATCAACCCGTTTAGGCCTTAGAGCTTCGGGCGCGAAGCTCGTATACCCCAAGCTTGAAACCTAACTCGAAGCTCGAAAAACCTCAAGCCTGAACGTACAAGGAGACTGAACTCTCACATCCTGAACACAAATCCTGCAATCAGACCGTCATGTTTTGGTGCCTTCAAGGCCCTGCACTGCTCCTCAGCGTCCCTCTGCGCGTTCCTGCACTCCGACCCATACTTTAGTATCCATATTTGGCTACTACCCTGCTAACTTAACCGGAGGGCGTGCCGTTCGTTGACAGAAGAACAGGGCTCTGTAGTTTGCTGGTTCATATTGCGGTTCAAGACGAAACTCACTCCTTGCTAGACGCGGGATGCCGAGCCAGAGCCCAACTCTAGACTCCAGCATCCTGCTGAAAGCAGGGGCACAGCACTACGAGTGATCTTGGAAGACAGAACCTAGCAGCATCTTCTCGGGCTGTGGCCTTCTGTTGACTACGCAACTGGAAAGGCTCAATGAGCCTAAAGGCTCGTGAGGTGCTCATCCCCTCCGCTCGTGAGAGCCGTCCTCGCTTCCTCGTAGGCCTCCTCATGCCGCCGCTTCTCCTAGGCTTGATGCAATACGGTACTCTAATTAAACCGACGGAGCAGGACTGCCACCAACACGGCCCCGCAGTCGACTGGCCTGCTTCTCGCGCCGGAGCATCTCTGCCTGGGCGGCGGAAGCTCACAGCTTCTCGCAGGAGGGTTGGTTCAAAGCATGTTTCGAGAAATTTCAGCCGGGGTACACTTTGGCTTCGGAGCTGCTCTTGCTCGTCGGATCTGCGACGACTCTGGTCCTGTGGGTCTTCGTGCCATGCAGAAGCACCACCAGCACCACCACGACTACATCTGCTACTACTACCACTGCTACTACTACTACTACTACTACTACTCCTACTACTACTACTACTACTACTACTACTACTACTACTACTACTACCACTACCACTACTCCTACTACTCCTACTACTACAACTACTACTACTACTACTACTACTACTACTACTACTGCTACTACTACTACTACTACTACTACTACTACTCCTACTCCTACTGCTACTCCTACTGCTACTCCTACTGCTACTACTACTACTGCTACTACTGCTACTACTGCTACTACTGCCACCACTGCTACTACTACTACTACTACTACTACTACTACTACTCTACTACTACTACTA